TCTCTCTCTCTCATGTCTCCCAGCTGGGAGTGAGAGATTCCTTCTGCCTCTAGGAGGGCTCCTTTTGAGCCTGGCAGAGTGACCAAACTAACCAATCCCAACATCAGAAATCTATACACCTGAGAGAGAGTGAACTTCCCAGGAAATTACTTCATGCTGCTCTGAACAGAAATACCCCAGATGGGTAACTTTTAACAATCAGGAGCTACTCAGTTGCTCACAGCAAATTCTATCATGGAGTTTACAAAGACTTATGGCTAGAAAAGCTGTACTATGTAATTTACTACATGGCACTATGGAATGTTAAACATCAATGAAAATGAAATGAACCAGGACTATAGACAACAAGTGGACAAATCTCACAAATAATAATAAGGGAAAAAGTAAGTCACAAAACAATAAACCAAAAAATAAATAAATAAATAGAACTCGTTACCATTGAGTAGATTCCGACTCATAGTAACCCTGTAGGATAGAGTAAAATTGCCCCCATAGGGTTTCCAAGACTGTAATCTTTACAGAAGCAGACTGCCACATCTATTTCCTGCATAGCACCTGGTGGGTTCAAACCACCAATTTTTCAGTTACCAGCTGTGCACTTAACCACTGTGCCACCAGGGTTCTTTCACAAAACTACATACAAACAAACAGTGTTATTCCATTTATATGAAGCTCAGAAAAAGCAAAACTAAACTACATTATTTATAGAAACATACATTACTGATAAAACTTTAAAGGAAAAAAAAAGCAATTATTTTCACAAGAATCTGGATAATGGTACATCTGGAGGTGAGAGGGAAGAGCTGTGATTGAGAGGTAGTATACTAGGTATGCTTGGGAACACAGAAAATGTTCTGTCACTATTGTGTGTTTAAAATTATTCCTTAAAAAGTACATGTCTTATGCATTCTATTCTGTATCTGATATAATAAAAATATATTTAAAAAGTATAAAAACCAATCTACCCGGGGATATAGAATATTTGCAAGAATATATGGTAACTGGTAAGATATCAAGTGTCTAGAATTAAGAGAACAGTCTTTGTGGGTTTAAATATCCATAAATAATTAATGTTTATGGTATTCTACCTCCCCAGACAGACCAAGCAAGGGCAGAGATTACATGTGTTCAGCATAATATGTGCCATCTTCCCAGTATTAGGCACATTCCTGGATTGCAGTAGGCACTTAATTATTGATAAATGAAAACAAACATAAAAGAATGAGGAATTTTGGCATGCTACTAGCTCATATCACATTTTAATGAAAAACAGAAATGTGCCATCTTTGATGATGCAGTCTCCCAGGCACACAGCTTTGTGGCTGGACAGTGCCTTTGTATGATTACTAAAAGTGACACTTTTCTAATATAGAGAGTGTAGCTTGCAAAAGAGAGAAGAAAAATAACAACAAAAACGAAATTCAAACTCATTGCCATCAAGTCATTTCTGTCACAGTGACTCTATAGGATGGAGTAAATAGAATTGCCCTGTAGGATTATAAGTCTTTATGGAAGCAGACTGCCTCATCTTTCTCCAGCAAGAGCAGCTGGTGGATTCAAACTGCCGACTTTTGTTTAGAGGCTGAATACTTTAACCACTACACCACCAGAGAGCCTGGGAAAGAGAGAAAGAGTAGGCCAATTTAAGTCCCTCATCGTACTTGTGGGTGGGTACCTCCTGTAGTGAACAACATTCTCTACATTCAAGTCAGCCCTGAGTGAAAGGGAATCTAGAGGACTTCTGGGGGTGAGAGGATAGAGCCATAAATGAGGAAAAAGTAACTTTGTGCTGGCCTAATAGGATCTGGTGGAGATGAAACAAAAATAGCAATAAGTTTGAACAGGAGTTGATGGTGAAGAGTAGGATGAAATTATTCTTAAAATGGTCTATAAGACAGGGACCCTAGATCTTTTAATTATTATTTGCTTACTATGTAGCAAGTTCTGCCTCATATAAACCTCACAATCTCTATATGAAATGTTATTAGGTGCTGTCAAGTTAACGTCAACTCGTAGTGACCCCATGTATAATAGAAACACTGCCCAGTACTGCACGCTTCTCACAATCATTGCTATCCTTGAGCCCATTGTCACATCCATTGTTTCAATCCATCTCATTGAGTCTCCCTCTTTTTTGCTGACCTTCTACTTTACAAAGCATGATATCTTACTCCAGGTACTGGTCCCTTCTGACTACATGAGCAAAGTATGGAAGACAATTTGGCCATTCTTTGGGTCTATGTACAGGTTCCTCATGAGAACAATTAAGCATTCTGGAATTCCTATTTTTTTTGCAATGTTATCCATAATATGTTATGATCCACACAGTTGAATGCCTTTACATAGTCAATAAAACACAGGTAAACATTTTTCTGGTATTCCAGAAATATGAAATAAGACAGTTATAATCTTCATTTTTACAGACTAGGACATCAAGGCTCATGAGCTAAGTAACTTGCCAACATCATATACCTAGGAAATGGTAAAGCAAGGATTTGAACTAAAGCTGTTCAACACCTATACAAACATACCTTGTTTTATTGAACGTTACTTGATTATACCTCACAGATACTGAGTTTTGTACAAACTGAAGGGTTGTGGCAACCTGGTGTCAAGCGAGGCTATCAACAGCATGTGGTCACTTCATGTCTCTGTGCCATATGGTAATTCTCACAATATTTCAAATTTTTCATAATGGTGTTGCATACATAGCAGAGTACAGTATGGTATAAACAAACTTCTATATGCCCTCAAAAAAAAAGAAACAACTCACTGCCATTGAGTTGATTCTGATTCACAGCAACCCCATTTGGTTTTCCAAGGTGGTAAATCTTTATGGAAGTATATTTATATTGCCCAGTCTTCTTTCCTTGGAGTGGCTGGTGGATTTGAACTGCCAGCTTTCTGGTTAGCAGCCAAATGCCTTAGGCACTGTGCCACCAGAGCTCCTTTTTATAGGCATTAGGAAACCAAAAAATTTGTATGACTCACTTTATTGCAATATTTTTTATTGCTGTAGTCTGAAAACAAATCTGCAGTATTGTTGAGGCTTGCCTGTACTGGTATCACTGTACTATGGATACCTTGGAGCCCAGGTGGCACAGTGGCTAAGTGTTTGGCTTCTAACTGAAAGGTTGGTGGTTCAAACCTATCAGCCACTTGTAGGAGAAAAGATGAGGCAGTCTGCTTCTGTAATGATTTCTAGCCTATAAACCCTAAGGGGGTTCTTTCACTCTGTCTTATAAAAAACCAAACCAAACTCACTGCCATCAAGTTGATTGTGACTCATAGCGACCCCTCCTTGTGTTTCCAAGGCAGTGTCTCTACAGAAGTAGATTGCCCAGTTTTCATTCCAAGGCATGGCTGGTGGGTTTGAACCATCAGCCTCTGGTTAGCAGTCAAATGCCTTAGGCACTACGACACCAGAGCTCCTACTCTTTCTTATAGGGTCACTATTAGTTGGAATCAACACAAAGACAATGAATTATGAATGTTTTGAGGAGAGGAGAAAAAAGTGGGATGACCTCAGACTGTGGCTGATCTAGATTATGCTTTCCTTCTACCTTGGAATTCTGCTTTACGATAAGAAAGGGTCACTCCTCAGTCACTAGGCTTAGAGATCCAATTGGGTAAAACTTATCTATCTATCAATCAAGGCAAAGAGATAGGCCCTATGTGAACCCCATCTCCAACCTACAGATTCACATATCCACATATTAATTAACCCTTTCCTTTTATCATTTTTCCATCTGGAACCAATAAAAGTTAACCTTGTTTTCCCTTCTAGAAAGGTATTCACCCTTTAAGGTTGATCTTACCAGAGCCCTGTAGCAAAAAGTTCTCGGGTGAAGCAGGAATGTGATATGAATTCACAGCCTTAGGCTGAAGAGCTCTTGAAGAAATTCTTGCCCAGGATGCCAGCATGGCCTCCTGAGCTGAAGAGATCACTTCAACTATGTTCGTTACTTCCTCTGTCTCCGTTGTCTTAGAACTTTCCTGAAGCTTTGCTTTCTTTGTCTTCCGTTTCTTCAAGCATGACTGCAGTTTGGCCTCTTTGGGTGTATTTGGAATATCCTGCAAATGAAATTCATGGTGAGTTTTCAGTGAAGATCTATTGCTGTAAGAACTTCTGTGTCAATTTTATGAATCTTTATACTGGACCAAACATGTTATCAGTGTTGGAAAGGTTTAGACATATTAGTTCCCTTAGAGGAACAACAACAAATGAAATCCATTGCCTTTGAGTTCATTCCAGCTTGCAGTGACCCTTTAAGACAGAGTAGAACTGCCCCATAGTTTCCATGGCTATATATCTTTATGGAAAAGACTGCCCCTTTTTTCTCTCGTGTAGCACCTGGTAGGTTCAAACTCTGACCTGTAGGTTGGCAACTGAGTGCTTTACCCATTGTGCCACCAGGGCATCTCACCCTTAGAAGAGTGTATCAGTTGACTTTGCCTTTCAGGGAACATTTGGCAATTTTTGAAGAAATGTTTAGCTGTCAAAACTGAATGGGGGATGTGCTACTGACATTTTGTGGGTAGAGGCCAGAGCAACTGCTAAACATCCTACAACACATAGGACAGCAATACCCACAAGAAAAAAAAGATCCAACCCCAAATGTAAAAACTATTGAGGAAACCTGCCCGCAAACTCCAAAACCATTGATTGCCATTGAGTCCATGCTGACTCACAGGAGACCCCCACTGGGTTTCCAAGGCTGTAAATCATTTATTTATTTATTTAAAGGCTGTAAATCTTTAAGGAAGCAAACTGCCTCATCTTTCTTTCCTAGAGAGGCTAAAGGAGCAATAAACATGGAGAAAATGGGAGAACAACCCATGATCGCAACCATCACCACATCCCTCACTCACCTGTTTTTGGTCAGGGTAAGCATGTTTCTGGAGCCTCAGATAAACATCTACTTTCTAAGGAAATTAAGAGATAAATAAAAGTTAAAAGTTAATAAAGGTTCCTAAACATGTCTAAGCAACAGAGTCCCACCAATACTTACCTGGCCATCAGTACTCAAATTTACTTGCTGGCACCAGTTCCGCAAAGTGTCCCGATGTACCTCATTAACTGGAGGCAAAATGGTCGGCATAGGAAGTACTGGAATTTTAGGTCTAGGTTTTGGGCTAGCTTGCAATTGTCCATTCATTTGAGGAAGATGACCTAAGAAAATAATGAAACCGAAGTAGTCATAATATTTGTAAGATTCTTTTTATTTTACAAAGATTTTTTTCACTTATTTCTCACAGACCAATTTGTACACACAATACTTTTTGTTTTCTTATTTCACAAATTAGAAAACAGGAAATAAAGGACTTGCCCAAGATCACACAATCATTAAAATGGGAGAACTGAGACTCAAACTTATTTCTTGAGATTCTAAATCTCAAATTCTTTATACTACACACAGTTTGATGTTTTCTGTAGCTCCCAACTCCCAAGGGAGTAGAACACTGTATTGGATTATTCCTTCACAGTGTCTGATTTTTGGAAAAAAAATTGAAAATTACAGCTGCTATGGAAATTAAAAGAGCTCTGGTAGCTAAAGCACTTGACTGCTAACCAGAAGGCTGGCGGTTCAAACCCACCAGCCACTCCTCAGAAGGAAGGTTGGGCAATCCTACTTCCGT